TCCAGTCCCGGGAGCCAAAGAGTAGAGCTGAAACGTGTCTCTCTGGTTTCGGTGTCTGCTTGCGCGCTATCTATTGTATCTAGAGTACACACAGAGAAAATTCTTAGGGCACACTGATACTAAACAAATTTCACTGTGTATCTGAAATTCGAACTTAATTGAGTGCCCTGTATTTAATATGCTCTTCACGGCAGGGAGGACCCCCTGCAGGGCCGCCAAGGAGTTCACCTGGTGGCACCTTTCCTTTTTCTTGCGTATTTCAAAATTCATACACATAAGAATGCAAAGCTGCTTAAAGAAATCTGTTGTCCAAGAATCATTATATTTTTGTTTTGAAAGACAATGTTATTGGAACAAAGGAACCAGGGAAGGTTGGAGATTTCCTCCCTCCCTTGGGTTCCTTGATCTCTTCCTTCCTTCTTTCAGGTTTGACCTCTTTCCTTCCCTCTTAGTAAAGGGCATAGAAGAAGGTCCAGGAACTTGTAGCCAAAGTGCCTGGGGAGGTGGTCTGCTGCTTGGGGAGCATGGGGAGCGCTCCGCTCCGGCCGGAGGAGATGCTGGGTCTGAGGACCACAATGAAAAGGCGCGGGTGAGGGATGGTGCCAGACAGTTGGCTTACACAAAGCCACACAACCTTGACTGGGCCTGCTGGAGTTGGAGAAAAATGACAAAGTTGAGAGTTTAACTACCTTTAAAAACAGCTTGCACAGCTCTGAATAGTCATCACACTCTCCCAGTTTAGATTAAACAAACAAACAGCAGGTTATGTGGCTGACCCAATAGTGCAGCGCAAATTGGTGAGGGAATTCGAGATAGAAGTCCCCGTCCTAAACTTTGACCTAATAGAAAGCCATTGGTTCTAAACCCCACTTCCTCCACCCATCAGTCATTCCAACTCATTGAGCCCCTCTGCGACAGGGTAGATCTACCCTTGTGGGTTTCCCAGACAGTAACTCTTTACAGGAGTACAAAGTCTCATCTTTCTCCAGCCCCCAACAGCTGGCGGTTTCGAACTGCCCACCTTCCAGTTCGCCGCCCAACTCCTAAGGACTGTGCCACCGGGGCTCCCCCAGTCTTTCCACCAGACCAGCGTTGGGTCTTGCCCTCCCTTCTATGCACATGCCATGTATTTTTTAATGACACAGGAGGGGCCAATAACATAGTGTGGCCCCCAAGACATATTTCATAAATAAGTAATATTGAATACAATGTCAGCTCATGAATAAGCCACGAAATAACCGACATTGTACCACGCGCTTTCAGCCTCACTGCTTCCTGTAGGAGCCCAACACGTTTCTCTGCGTCACTGGTCATAATTGCCCGCGTTCCTTTCTGAAATGGTGGCAGTTTAAAAGAACGTTTGTAACTTGTCGCCCAGGTCCCTCAGCCCTGACCCTTAGGGACGGGGGTGGGGTGGGGAGGGGTGGGGGGACGGGCACATTTGTTCCCTCTTAGTGTGTGTTCAACAAAACATCCGTGAAGATTGTAAGCTTGTCCGCAGGAGCAGGCTGTCTTGTACTGGAAAGAATACAGCCTTTGGGATTGGAAGCAGATGGGTTTGAAATTCCCTTCTGGCCTCTCTTTCCTCACCTAGAAAACGGAGCGAGCGCATCGGTGACTCCCTGTCAAGAAAGGCCCACGGGAGAATGACATGCGATCGGTAGGTGTCTGCACGATAAACTGACTCGGAGGAAAGTCCTCTCCCGCTTCTCCCCGTCCTCGCCAGGTCCGGGTGTGGTTCACCAGGAAGCCCTCTTTCCTCGCGTTCTCCTGGTCTGCCTTCCCTTCCCGATCAGATACTCCACCTTCTCAACCTGCACCGTGAGGGCGAGCTGGCAAATGGAAGCTGTCCACAGGACTCTCCAAACAAGAGGTTTTAAAATATTTTTTTTTACCTCCTCATTAAACAAACTAATCGAAATGAAATAAATTCCGTTTTAGAAATCATTCCTCAAATTAAAAAAACAAATAAACAAAACCTTACTAGTAGCGACACCACCAGGATTGTGCTGCCTGCCAACATGGCCCTTTGCTCCCCAGAGGAGACTCGCAGTGGGGTGGGGTGGGGAGGGGGTCCCTCCTGGGGCTCAGGTTCAGCTGAGGTGAAGAGGGATGCTGAGCAGGGCCTGGGGGCACCCATTGAGCCGCTGTTGCCCCCTCTACACCCAGACCCAGGGAAGTCAGCACCCAACAATGCCCACCCTTGTGGTAGAAACCAGCACCCTTCCCTAAGGCAGGTGTGTCTAGACTCAGGACCCAGGATCGCCTTGGAGAACCCATCCCTGGACCAAAAGTCCCTTGAGTGAGGGGGGACCCCCTCCGCTCCGGGAAAGATCTGATGGTGGAGCCTGCAGGAGGCTCTTCGGAAAGGCTTCTGCCTGGCCCAGGGCTTCTCTTCTTGGGACGAAAGCAATCCTGCTTTGTTTTTGTAGTTTTGTTTTTAATGGGCACTGGGGATTAGGAAGAAAAGGAGGAAGTTAAATGGAGAAATTGTATCTCCCTCTTCCTGTAACTTTGCTTTTTTCTTCTTCTCCATAGAATTCAGGATTTTCCCAGGGCCAGTCCCTGAAGAGGAGCAGCTTAGCTTCCGGTTTAGTTGCTGGTTCCCCACCTTTGTTCTTCTCCTCTCTTTAAATCTGTAACAGGAGGGTGACCATATCAACACCATGGGGTCATTGTAAGGATCGCTTAGGAATGCGTGGGAAAATGTTCACACATAGTAGGTGTTAGATAAATATTTGTTCTGAAATCATCTAAGACAACCCCTCCCTCCCCTCCAAATTTAATGAAGAAGGGTCAGAGGAGGGCCGAACAGCTCAGTTTGCTTAGCACATTACTTGGAGGATTAGAATCCAAGCGTCCTGGTGTCTGTCCCAGTGCTCTCTGCCTGTGGCTCCGCTGTTTACTACTTCAAATCCAGTGGGCACCACACGTTTGGAGGGGGAAGACCCAGTTGGAATCCCCAGGCTTTGCCATCTCTGGAGTTGACTGATCTTGGGCCATTTATTCTGCAAACATTTCAGTGCCTGTGATAGTATAGGGGACACATGGAATGCAGGCTAAAAGGGCAGCTATGCAATATGCTGTTGGGGTGAGGCACCATTGGGGTGCTTCCCTTCCCAGGGCTAGCCCGTCTTCAGTGACTAGACTGTGGAGGCCTCTAAAGGTTCGGTCCAGGGGCTTCAATTCAGAACATATCTTGACTGGGACTTTCTAGCTACACAGATTCTCAGGAACAGTTGAAGGTTTTGTGGGGACTTTGCTGTGGGGACTTCGTTGCAGCCCAGTTCCTCACACTGCCTGCTTCTTGCACCATCTCCACAGGTACTGATCTCGAGAACACTAAATGCCAGAACCACTCAGCATGTCCAACCTGGGTGGAGCACTCTGGAACTAGAAGGGCAAAAGGAACATGAGATTCATGGTTTCAATCTCGTTTGCTTTGTGCACGTATTGGGCCAAACATTTGTGGTTAAGGGTGTAAACGAAGTAAATCGCTACCACATTAAGCCTTCTGATAAGCGGGGGCCCTGGGGCCCGCCCTCTCTCTTTCCCTTCAACCTCCTGCTTGCTGGCCACCCTGAGAGCTGCCAGAGCCCTGCTAGGTTTCCATCGACCTCAGATCCACAACACTCTGCATCCACCAGCCTGTGTCTTCCTGCCTCCTGCATCACTGCATGCAGCTGTGTGAGTCTGATGAGGGATTTACGGATTAGTATCAGACTGATGGCCCTGAGTTGGATTGGGCTGGGATGCTCTCTTGATCCATAACTACTTCTTGATATACAGTTCTTTCTAATACATATGAGGCTCACTGGATTTCTCTAGTCAGCCCAGCCTAACACACTAGATTCTACGCAGAGTATGACACCAGGAAAGGCTTATTAACAACGATATGCTTGCTGAAAGTGAGGACGCGAAGCCCTTGCTGATGAAGATCTAGGATTGCACCCTTCAGTATGGATGATGACAACTCAGTGTGAAGAATGGCGTCTGTCAAGTGATCTGGGTGCAGTTCTGCCACGGCCTCGGCATTTAGCATTGTGAGGCTCGTTGTGGCTATATTTGCATTCTCTGATAAGTAAGAATATTAAAGATTGTTCACTAAGTGCATATTGGCACATTTCCAAAGTGTCCATTTCAGTTTTTTGCTTAAATATTGGCTTATTTTTTCTTATTGAGTTAGAGGAATTATTTATCTCTTTTGGGTAGAAGTCCTTTATTACACATATTAGGATGTTTCAAAATGTTTGTGGGAAAATGGAATGAGAAGATGGTGGAATTTTTCATGAAAAACTTTATGCCCCTTTTACGCCCCTCATATTTCAGAGGCTCACTTCCCCCTTTCGTGGTTAGGGCTTTTTGTGTCCGGGCTAGGAAGGTTTTGCCTTTTAGGATGTTGCCTTCGCCTGTCAAGTCTTCTAAAACAACGTACCCAATGTTCCCCAACAACGTGTAGTCTTCTCCACCCTTGATTTCTCTGCCTCCCGTATAGAGTTGGATGAAGTCTCTCTAATCAATATCTGTGTATGGTAGAATCTGGAGAGGAGATATTGCTTTTGTAATTAGGGAGGCAAAACTGAAACACGCGAGAATCATTGAGGTTTTCCTATCAATTCGTCTAGGTCTTAGAGCACACAGTTTATTAAAAAGTCCCCACCCCACAATATCACCTGCACCATCATAGCCCTGGAGTGAAAAGCCATTTCCTGTGTCCAGCTGGTTCCACTTCTTTCAGTGGTTTCCACTTGTCCCGCTTCTGCTAGTCTTCAGCCGAGGCAGCAGTCACCAACCTCAATCAACCTTCTGCGTCCACAGCACCGGCCCGTGTCTCTCTCATGCTCCGGCAGGACTGTGGGCTTGATCTCCTCTGCGCTGTGCTCTTTGTCCCAAACAGGCCCGAGCGGCCTATCGCATCCCACCTGCCAACAAGGGGTATGTCCGGGAAGCGATTTTCTTTTCACTCCTGCTACCCCAAAGCAATTGCAAAGACAACAGCCTTCTCTTTTAAAAACTTTTATTAGGCATTGCTAGATGATGACATTGCATGATGTGCTGAACACACCATGTGAGTAAGCAGCACGCCATAGTGATCCATACACGAAAACGGTTCAAACAGTGACAATCAAAATAGTTTGATTCGCATTAAAGTTTTCAGCCAAGAGAGATCTTATCTCACAATTAAGACTACTCTTCCATTCGAGATCAACCAACCCCAAACAATGTCAAAAGCCCAACCACAAAAAAAGGGCCATCGGGGCATATTCAGAATTCCAAAATTTGACTCCGAGATACCAGATATCCACCTTTTGAAAGACACGCCCCTAAAATTGCTTGCAAACCTCTGGGCTGCATTTACCGCCAGCAGTCAATGACAGTGCATGTCCTCAGGAGCGCTACCTGGACACACATCCACCGGAAATTCTTGAGGTAATAGATATTTAAAATTCCACTGCTTACAAAAACAAACAAACAAACAAACAAACAAAAACCGGTTCATTTTCTGGTCCTGTCCAGCAGGACGTATCTGTTGGCAGGATTCTTTTCTTTTTATTTTTCTTCAAATATTTAAACGTATGTGCATGTACAACCTGTCTTTGCCATTTCTAAACACACGGTTGAACTATTCATCACACATTCATCAGGAGAGGGTGAATTACAAACTACGGTACATGGAGAATACAACAAAACCAATATTTTGTATACAGTGAAAACAAAAGGCACTGACCAAAAAGAGCTAATGAACAAATTGTACAGAATGGCTTGGTGTTGGAAAAACCTGCTGTAACATGTAAATAGCAAACACCATTCCAGCATTAATGCAGAAGAGCATTACAAAGACAACATTGCCAAGGACAAGTTGTAAGAAATGGGTCAGTTAGTTTCCTGAAGTAGCATATAGTTACTTATTTTTTAAGCTACTTTAATTTTTGTGTGTGGCAATTTTTTCCTAGAAAGATCTATAAAGTCTGCTAGCCATTTCAACTCATTTGAAACTTTAATATTCAATGTCCTTTTCTGAATTTTAAAGAAATTTTGGTAAGAATGGCTTCAATTCCTAGTGTTTAGTGTGCCATTTTTTTAATACATTAACAAATATGAAAAGTAGATTTGAGAAAAACCTGATGGCCTAGAGATAATGCAGTGGATTAAGCAAATAAATACAGCCTAGATACAGCCCTCAAAATAGACTGTTTCATTAGCACTTTAAATAAAAGAGCACACTCACAAAAATATATGGCTCTTTAAGATAATAAAGTCAAGTGAAAAAAATAAGGCACTAATAACATATATAAATGTTATATACTCTTATCGCACAAAATATTGTATGGAAGGTGTGGGCTATACATTAGTGCTATGGGAAGATAGGAATAAACACCAAGTTTACCTGGCTTTTATTCAACAACATCTTCCATTCTTTTCGGTAACATTTGAATACAAAATGATGGGGGACCATGTGCACTATGCTATGAGCACAATGCACTGAAATAACAGCATGAAACTCCAATGCTGTTGAAGAAAAGATGATTACTCTAATAAACTAAGAAATTAAGATTTTAGATATTCCCTATTTTCTAACGTTTTTACCTCCGTAGAATTCTTTTTCCTACACATACACAAAAGATTCTACCCAAGGATATTAATACTGGCTATTTTCTTTATTTTACTTCTACCTTCTATCAAAATTCATAATGATTTCTTTTATATAGTTTTATGGATAACAAACAATAATAATACTAGTGAAATGTAGATCTTTCACAATATCATTGACAAAGCAAAGAAAATTAGTTTTAACCAGGTTCATTTAAAACATGATATAGTATTTGGAAAATGTCTATATTTCATGGGGAATAAAAATATATGTAATGTAATTACATAATGAACAAGATCTGGTACAAACTAGTGGTGAAAATCATTTTTAAAACAAAAAAATTGTTTTTCATTTTCTATTTTTATGAGAATACAATTTAAATGAGATATACAATGGTAATTAAAATAGTTTACAATTATTTCTTACAAGTACAAGTTTCTGGATATTCAGCGATGCCAGAGTAAATAACCAGTTTTCTTGTTAGCATTTTATATTCTTTGTGGGAAAAGAGAATGTGATTTATCTCCTTGTAGTTTTGCAGTAGGATATATGTATATAAATATGTTTCATGAAAGTGTCTGATACTCAATTTTATTTGAAATATAAACAACTGACTCGTGGCTTTTAGTCATGTGTTGTGATCATTTAATTACATTTTAATGCAACTGTTGTTAATGTTCCTTTTACACAACATTGTTTTTTGTGGTCTCAGAATTTACGAATTAAAATAGCTTTTTATGAGCAACATGATTGTCAATTAGTTCTCATTTCAAAAATCTGTAACAGATTGTCCTTGGCACGGTAAATGATTATCTACAAACCCATTGTTCTAGATTTTATCCAGAACATAAAGAAAGTTGCTTTACTTTTAGAAACATCAGTTCAATATCATGATGATGAAAATGATCAAATATCAAAAGTAAACTACTGCAGGGTTGCCATATGGAATTTCAAAACAGTATTTCTTTGAAGTCGACAAGAGAAAGGGCTTGTAGTCAACTGCTAAAAATAAAACTTTCTATACATTTTCTTTATAAAGGAACACAAAGAATGCTAATTTTATATAGATGGGGAAAAATCAGATACAGTACAACCGTATTTGTACATAGAGGACATATGTTAGCAAACGTTCACTTGTAGGATTTGGCTGGATTTTTGAAAATATTTCCCCAGCTTACGTTTGCTGCAAAAACCCCATACATTTGCAGCAAACCAGTGACCAACAGGGCAGCTTGGCAAGCTGTAGGGGAGAATTTGAAATGACATAATTTCAGCAATTTCTGGGGCCCTTTAGCAACCAAGTTTGACTATCCTCTGACCTTTCCTTGTCAAATCTTAAACCGATCCTAAATATATCTTATTTTCTTCCTAGTTGGAGCGTGGTTTTCATCTGAATCATATCAATGAACAAGTTATATATTTCCAAACGACAGATGGTTTCTCAAGAACAGGTCTAATGTCAGTTACATTCAATGTTATTAACTATTGATTATCAAGAAATTCAATGACATCTCAAAAGCATGAACCTAAACCCAGTCCCAAGGTCATATTGTAGGGCATTTTGCTGAAACAAGGCCAGAAAGCACTTATTTGGCTACTTTGGATGTCTATCCATATGGTTCTTCTGTCTAATGAGCCAAAGATAATATTGATCTTACAGTATTCATATATTAACTCCTGAAACTTAATTTTAAAGTATTATTAGGCCCAATGAGCCATTTGACCTCATCACATTCATTTATTTCTTGAGAGCAGGCTGGGCAAGTTTCTCTCATCAAGGATTAGAAAGTGTTTCAGACATCCCCGATGCCTTTCAAATTTGCAGGAAAACCAAGCCAAGGTAAATCATGTTCATTCCCAGAGTTAAATTATGGTGTCTTTTCAGTGTTTGAATTTCACATCATTAGAATCAAAGGGTGAAAATTTATTTTACACTTGAGTGAGATAGGATGAAGCCTGGGGATGTGAAAATAAATAAATAGATAAGGTGATCAGGAAATGTGTGAGAAAACACAAATATGATGTTAAGGAGCACGGGTACCATTTCCCAAAGCCAGACAATCCTTTAGGTATGACCGATAGAGTGGAGTGATAAGAATGTGGCAAAGACCTGAAGAATAAAAATATGTTCTAGACTAATAAATCTCTCAAATCTAAGTGATATAAAGTTTAGCACACCTAATAATATCCTTTAAAAGACAAAAGGAGGTACAGGGGGTGATGGTGGCAATATTTTGCCTATTAAAAAATAACTTATTGCCTTTAAATCCATATTGTTATTATGCTCAAAACAGCCATTTCTTTTGCTAATACAAGGAAGAGAGTTTATAGTACACGTGACATGTTTCTAAAACTGGCAATATGAGAGGTGAAGGCTTCAGCTAACCTTCCAAATAAGCTTTTTCAAAAGTGTCTTGTATTGTGACTCTTCTTTCTATTTGGGTGACGTGAACTCATGTTTAGGCTTTGTGACAATGATATGCATTTAGTAGGTTATAGTTTGGAAGGTGGACTATTAGTTCTGCCCACTAAACCAGAGTCACAAAAGGATTCCACTGTATTGAAAAGTTTCTATCGCATTATTTCAGATTAATCAAAGAAATAACTAGGGATATATATAAAAATGTGATCTTGTGAAAAAATTCTCCAGAGTAGGAGTGATGTAAATTATTATGGCTTGTGCAAACAAAATTTGTTTAGGCTGGTTATTGGTGGTAGTTTTGATATACCATGTTTCCAGGTAGGAAGCTGCTTTACGTTTTCATGAAATAACAAAATGCAGTTAAAGCTTTTAGCAGAATTCACTCATCTAATATCTCAAGCAAACATTCCAGCTAGGTTGTTAGGTGACAGGAAGTAAGTAGCAGTTGTTATGTTTCTGGATTGATCTCTGGTACTACTACAATTTCAGAATTCTATGACATGTGTTTCAGGTATGTTTTCCTTGTTTAAAATATCTAGTTTCTGATCCCCTTCAAATTGAAAGAGGTGACACATATCTCCTAACACTGTTATTCTACTTTCTCCATTGAAATATACACATGTCAGTTGCCTTAACTTTGTCAGTAAATTACTTAAATGGCACAGATATTTTAAAGTGCATTGTTGAATTTTAAGGCTCTAGCATAGCTAATAACAGACAAGCAAAGAAAAAGTTGAACATGGGAAACTTTACCTTCAATGATTGGGACAGATGCTAGTCACATATACAAAAAGAGAAGCACACAATTCCATGTGAAGACTCACATCAAGGCCTATGTGTAACTTAAACAGCAGACCCTGTGAAAGCCGGAACCCGGCAGAACGGCCTCGTCGTTCCAGGTCTCACAAGCAGTCTACCTTTGACCACATTAAGGGGCAAATCTTTTTAGTTTTCCTTCTCTGACAGGTTCCTGCCTTCACGGGTTTCATTGTAAAATTAAAATAGAATTGGCTTTTGGTTTGAATTTTCTTAGTTTTGCAATTAAGAGTATGTCAATTAATGTCACGTAGGTCACTCACTTTTTGAATTGGTCAGTTTAACAGGCAGCGAGAAAAGTTCCTTGGAAGGGAGAAGCTGGACCGAAGTCTGGGCAAATACAGTCTCATTTGCCAGCAGCCACGAAGGCCTGGGTCAGCGTCCGTCCTTCTCCCCATCTGCCCTCTCTTCTCCTTCAGTGAGAAGTCGCTAAAGTCACAGAGAGGTGGAGAAAACGAGGCTGGAAGGGCCACAGAGACCAAAACATCGACAGCGCTTTGTTCATCATTTGGGCCTACTGCAGTAGACGAGCCGCACGCCACGTTCCAGGGGGCTCTTATGTGGAAGTTGGATCGAAAGATACAGGCTCACCTGGGCCTCTGGGACTCGGGAGCTGGTAGGTGGTAGGACTGAGAATTTCCTGACAGGTACCACTGAATCCTGAGTTACAATTAAAGATAGCATGGTGTAACCCGAGTGGTACTTAATTACCTGTGGTAGTTTTCCTGCCTATTCTAGTAGGACACAATAGTACCAGGAAGCCCACCTCTCCTGGTACAGGATATTGAGCCGCCTCACCTCTTCTTACCTCATAGACAAATTCCTAGGGCATTATTGGGATTCGTTGCAAATAAATGTCTCCCATGATTCCACATTGATCAATATGCCAGCAAGCCCAGGCATACCTAGAGTCCAATTTTTATTTTTCTATGGATGTTTAATTGCCAGCATACTGCTTTTTACTTTTTTTGCTCATTGGTATAATCCAGATCCTCTGCGGAACAACAGGCATGAACATGGACAGTATTTTTTTTAACGTGACAAACATTTTCAGTTTGCTGGACTATGTCATTTGGATCCAACAAGTTTTAAACTAAGCAACACAAAATTTGATGTAGTATTTCTCCCTCCTTTACATACATCTTACAGCATTTTATTTTTGTTGGAAAAGGATTAACTTTACAATTGTTGGCAAGGCATTTATTTGGTTACTCAAGCAGTGGGAAAATTATCTGAAGAAGAGGCTTTCTTGACAGATTGATGAATTCCTATAGACCCCTCCCCGCGCCTTTTCTCCCAGAGAAGGGTATCAATTATATTACTCTGATCTCATTCACTGAAAATGCATTAAAATATGGTTACAAATATCTTATAAAAACCAAATTTAAAAATCGATGGAGATGTTCACACAGGGCACAAAACTATAGGCAAAATATTTTCATGGGTACCTTGTTTGTAATAGAGAAGGAGGGGGGGGGGGAAACAAAAGTCCCTTTGTATTCCATAGGGGCTAATTAAAGAAATGAGCACACTGCCCCACAAGGCAGTGTGCAGCAATTTACAAAAGAATGAGGTAATTCTATTTAAAGTCCTATGGTAACGCGTTCACTGATACATGAGAAAATGAAAAAGAAATCACAAGAGACTAAGGATATTAATATTCCATCAGGGTAAAACTAATGCACACACAGACACGTTCAGGTACATGCACACACACACACGCACACACACACATTTGCAGACAGTGTCTGAAGCAACACCTACCAAACCATGAACAGTGGTCACCCCTTAACAAGTAAGGGGCGGGATAAGCAGAAATTGTTCTACTTTACAATTCGATAGTTTGATGTTATTAAAGGAGCTTGTATTAAATTTAGAATAAAAACATGTAAAAGTGACAAGCATTGGATAAAAAGATATTTATGTATGGACACTCAACTTTTTCTAAGGTAGTTTTTAGAATTTACTCCAAAAGTAACTTCTATAGTTTCACCTTCAATATTGGCACTAATATAATCTATTTTATTTTCTTCTTTTTAAGACTTTGATAACGCTTAGTAAGAAAACAAAAATCTCACAAGTAATGATTTTAACGCATCAGCAGGGAAAGACCAAATATATGTCCATTTGTAACGAGAGAAACAAATACATTATTTTTTAAATCTATGAGATAGAAAAAGGAAACACTGTCTATCACAGTGCTCACTATTCTCAAGCACTGATAGAAACAGCCTTCACTGTTTGATAACAGACACCAGCAGTTGTCTAAATAATATATAAAAATACCTCCAAAAGATAAATTATTTAAAGGAATAAAAATCCCTGAGTAGGCCAAAGACAACAGACACAATAAACTAAGAAAATAGATTATCTAGACCAGAGAGTATATTATTCAATCAGTTGGTATAAATGTATGTGGCACATGTATTCATATGCAGTTAGGGAATATTTTCTATACATACATATGTATAACATACATGTACATATTCACTCAATTTAGCATTATGTTCAAACACCACCAAACTAAGGCCTAAGTCCAGGAAAGATATATTTACAAAAAGTACTTTATAATAAGAAATACATGGATTTAGGCTAGAAAGTTTCATATTTTCAGTCTTTATACTAGAGCACCTGGAAGAGCCACTCAATAAATATTTGTTGAATTACAGAAAGACGGATGGATGAATAAAGGAATGCAAAGATGAAATTTTGAAATTAGAGCATCATTTTTTCTTAAGTTATATTTTGGAATATAGGCTATCTCCAAACCATTCATGGCACTCCCTTCTTTAATTGAAAATAGACAATTGAAAATTGTCTAGAAGCTATAGTATAACTATTCTAGTTATTATCCAGAAAAAGAGGAAAGCATGCTGGCATTTATCTATGTGAGTAAACTTCATAACAACAGACTTTTTAGGTCAAACAAAAGTGACAGATATTCCTAAAGTCTAAAGCCAAATAAAGACATACTGTGCATGCTAATGCATGTTTTATCACATGACCTATTCCAAGTCAGACAAGGGTGCTGGCAAATAAATGCTGCCTGTAGGGCAGATAGACAATGTTAAGGATTTGGAAACAAGGGGAAGCTTCAAGTTCTTTCTGGGTGTTTTCGTCTGTCCTGCTGATGAACTTTTGTGATGACCACAAAGGCTCCTCAATTTGAATACCTGATCGTTCCTTGTTTTTAAAGACTTAACAGCTTTATAAAAACTTCCTGAAAACATTTCCTTCATTTTTTTGGCTGCTTTCTCCAAAAGCAGTTTATATTTTAGATATACCCATGACAACAGAAATATTTCTTTTTATCTTTCCATAGAAGATATCAATGGATTTGAGAAGAAAACCTCAGAAAACCCCTTCCAAAGTACTATTTATTTTTATGACCAACTCCAGGATAAATAAAGAAGGGTGTTGACAGGGAAGAAGGTAGGGCATTCAATAATGTAAAATGTTGACCCAAACAGAGTTATCAGTAATTACAACCTGATAAAAAAGTTCACTGGAATAGGGATTTGTTTGAAGACTGAAGCAGTTCTCCCCACACCAAACTTGCTTTTTGAATGAACTAATTCCATGGAAAAGGATTTATTCATAAAGTGAAGCGTGCATGCCACTGGATGAGAAATCTGAAAAGACCAAATGCTCTGGTCTTGAGAATTTTCTAAAAGCAGCCAATCAGTTTTGCCAGTAGACAAAGTTTGATAACCCTTGGATGACATTGCATAAGTCTGTGTGTGTGCATATGTGTGATAAAAAGGGAGAACAAGAAATAGAAAGGACCAACATCCAAATAGCCTGTGTCCTAAATTGACTTTAATTCAGCATATTACCAAACTATGCCCGTAGAGGAACCATCATCTTTAAATAGTGCTATAAACATGAAAAATAGTGTAGAGGCATGGAACTAGACAAGCACAAGGTCATTGGTCTAGCTTTGACATAGATATTTATATACACACACACTCACACCCTACACATATGTACCTCAGCAACTCATGGCTGTTCTTCTTAAGTTACTCTCATTAGTTCCCTTTTGGGCATTGAGATGTCTAGCAATTATAGCAAATATAGCATCAGCAATTATGAGTCATCAGAACGGATGAATTCTGCTGTTCAGGCCACAGATGAAAACAGGTGCATATGGTGAACTTCATCTTCGGTAAAATGGCCTTGCTCATTGGTACAGATGGGACCTCAGTTATACACACTGAATGTCACAAGATGGCCTGATGGAGGTTCAGGGCTCAAAGACAGTCCAAGCAATGCTCAGGTGAGGCGTGGTCAGAACCATTCTGAGGATAACTGATTCTTAATGAAAACAGTTTCTTCAAAGAACCACAAAGAAGGTCAAAGTTATGATACAGATGCTTATAGTTTATGAAAGTGACTTTTTTTTTAAAAGCAGCAATCTGTAGTGGGAAAGGGACCGGATACCATGTTGGGGGCGCACCGTCGCTAGAGGCATTGTGGCCTGCAGAGGACCAAGGGAAGACCAGATGGTAGCAGGTTCCTCTCAGTGGTTTTCCAGGTCGGACTCACATGTGGGTGTAATTCTGCACAGCTCCGACCCGGACCGGCGTCGTTCAGATGCGTTCATCTGTGTTTTACCAGTGCATGCCTGTCCGTGACCGCTTTCTCTGTTTTTTACAAAGGCAATAGATAGGAAAGACAAATAAACCTATGGGTTTAAAACAAAGAGAGAGATTAGAATTCGACAGGAGGAGAAATGTTTTGACTTATATATGTTCAACTTCCCATTTTGAGTTATTTGTACACTATTGTTAAATAACCCTGACATGGCAATACATAAAAATCAAAAGAGAAGAGAGACCTGTTATAAAATTTATTGACTTCTAATACGTTCTAATACATCTTTATTCTTTGTTAATGAATTTCCATTGGCACTCCCTCTCTGCACTTTTAAGAACCTCAGCGATACCAGTTTGAACATGGGATATTGTTTTCTATCACAATATCAAACCTTAACTTCTAGTCTTTATTAACTCGCTGCCAGCAAGTCAATTCCTATGCGCAGTAACCCTGTGGTTTTCTGAGGCTGTACCTCAGTTTACAGAGTAGAAAGCCTAATTTGCCTCCTGAGGAGCACCTGATGGGTTTTGAACTGCTGACCTTGTGGCTAGCAGCCAATGTATAACCCACTACACCACTCCTTCAAGCCTTCATGATTAGCCACAGTCATATGATTTTCACATTATGATGTATGCACTACAGGTTCAGGAAGTATGACATATTAGTTAAGAGTCAGGCTTGATTCCCCGTTCCCAGTAATCTTTGATATCCTCGATTGTAAAACACAGATAACCATAGTATCTCCCTCATAAAGTCCTGGCTCACTGCAAGAACTTAAATGCCAGCTACTTTATAATTCTATCTCTTCTGCAAATGCATTATTTGCCAAATATGCCTACGAAAAATATTTAATTTGGCAAAAAAAACAAAACAACAACCAGGAAAATTCCCATCTGCTACACTGAAAATGATCAAAAAAACCTTTATCTGACACAATTAATGTAAAATTTGCTAAAGCAATGGTTCTCAAAGTGTGGCCCCTAGACCAGTAACATCAACATTACTTGGGAACATTTTAGAAACATAAATCCATGGGTTCTGACCAAGATCTAATGAATGAAAAACTCTGGAATTGGCTCAGGAACCTGTATTTTACCCAACCCTCCAGGTGATTCTAATGTATACCAGAATGTGCAAAGCACTGCTGTAAGATACATTATTTTACTATACCTGTACAAATAAAACTATACAAATCACCAATACCCAAATTTTCTATTTCAGTGCTCACTGAAATGCATTCTGTGTACATCAAAGTGATCTTTGTAGAGCAGACCAAAAACCAGGGTCTCAGAGCACACAGGAGCGCTTCCCTGCCCCCACCCCCCAGGAGCTCTTTTTATGCTCCAATCTTACTGAAAGTTAAAACATCTGGGTTCTGGTCTACTAGAGTCTTTCATTAATAGAATTAATGAGAATAATAGTATTAGCATGTACAAAAAGGGTAACTGTGTAGACTGCAAAAAATGCTATACAAAGACCTTTTATATGAAGCACACTCCTCTGAGTCTGTAAAACATATCCCAGTGGTCAGTTTACAAGGCAACGCTCCTCCTAATAGGTCTGTCCCTTGAAAGCAAATATGGACTAGAAACCATGTCCACTTACTAATTTAATTCTTATTACCATGCAATATGCTCCTATTGTACAGCCTTCGGAGAATTCTAGTGCTGGATACATGAAGTATTTCTTACCGATTACAACTGCGATGGCTCCCAGCGCTAATCCCACAACCAGGAGCAGCGGTGCGACGCACAACTTTCCAGCTGGAAACGAAAGGCAAAACCATGGAAAGAGGCTTAAAAATCATGTATCCAAAAATGTCCGCAGTGCCCTTTTAAATCCCACAGTGTGTGCTGCTTGGAAAGGGCTCTGATTATAAGGAAGAGTCTCTTTGCTAAGGAAATGTATCCGATGAATGGGCACATTAACCAAACATTGATAGCAACAGCTTATCCTTTGCAAACAAGAAAATTCGACCAGGACCATTTCTCTTGTCACTTTCAGGTCACTTCTGTTTGTCAGTTTTCAGAGTCGAGTCTACTCTGCACAAAAAATAGACAGCTAGTACGTGTGACAAGGAGTTCTACTCAAACCTACCACTGGAAAGGCGATTTATAAATTACTGAGTCTAAGGAAAATTAACATGAACACTGACCAGATTGAATTACAAATGGCACATTCCAATGGTTAGAGAAAACACTACCATACACACACACACACACAATAGGTATGTATTGCTGCAAGCTTTGCAAGTGACTCAGTTGATCAAATTTTAAAAGGAAACACTTAAGAACAAGAATACTAAATGCTGATGAGGATGTCAAGTGTCATCCGTCTGCATTTTGCCCCCAAACAAATAACTGAGCAGACGTAATAAAAAACCAGTCATTACTAAATAAAGTAAGGAGTCCACAATCAGAGTCCCCTGACTGTGAAAAGGGATAGCACCCAAACTTAGTATCTTTTCATTGATAGTAAAACTTTGACCTTCCAAAAAGGCAAATTCAAGGCTATCAAGTGAATTCTGATGGCAGGACCTTTTGCATAACTAAAACACAGGTAGAGGGTGAGCATGAGAACAGGGATGCTGCAGGAGACGCACCTAGCTGATCAAGAATGAAATGGGGCCTTGTTCCACACACTAAAGATAGTGATTTGGAATAACCAATTATACAAAGTTAAAGAAAAGAATGTAATGCAACCATTATATTGGAAGTTTGTCAGAACAATATTAACTTTTCTACTCTTAAAAAACAGTCTTCAGAGTCAAATTATCAAAAGTATATAAAATATAGTTTTTAATATCTAGTCCCCAATCCATTTCCATCTAGTCTATTCCTGTGCATAGTGACCCTTTTATGCAGTTTCCCCCAAATGGGACATGCTGTCCTTCTGGAGTGAGGGCCGGAGGGGGAAGAGGACTCGAACAATCTAAGGGAGGTGCAAAAAGAAGGTATCTACACTTAATGCTGGATCATGAGTTATGGTAGCAACGTTTTTAACTGCCCGGGACTTTTTCTCTGAGAAGCGGACAGTAGCCAAATAAATTTAGGGACCTATGCTATATAGGGTTTCTGAGGCTATAAATCTTTATATGAGCAGACAACCTCATCTTTCTACCAAGGAGAGCAAGTGGTGGGTTTGAACTGCCAATTCTGTGGTTAGCAGGCAATGTTTACCTGACAGCCCCACAGGGGCACCCATCTAATCCCAAAGATCACTCAAACACAAAGTCTAACCACAGGTTTATACTTTCACCAACGGCAAAATTCAATTAAGTAATTTTAAATCTCATTGGACAATTCCATTTGGCACCCTCTTAAAACTAGGCTTATGGGTTTAGGATGTATTGGCTCTCATATTTTAAAAGAATCTGTTTTCCTTCTATACATGTAGCTCAGTCTGCTCATTCATATTTTTTTTTCCTAACAACTTCCAAATACATTACAGTTCAAAAAGAAGTTTGCAATTGGTTTTCTTGTGGTCATAATAAATCAGGGTTAACCCCCCACTTCTTCCTTGAAAGTCTACTTAACTCAAAAGTAAATATTGGTTTATTTGAGTCTATTTACCTCAAAAGTAAATGTTGGTTATACAGCTACACATCATACAAGCAAAGAATGAGAAAAACAAAGTGAGCCATCAACAATAGTCTTGACTCTACTGAACGCTGCTGATTGTGGAAAATTATGTTTAACTATATCTTGGTAAGGAGTTTTATAGAGAGTATGTAAATGTTTACAAAGCAATGCCACTGGTTTCTACAGGCAAACATTATTAAAATATGTTTTATCATTTACATAATGTAAATGTACCATTAACTTCAGTTTTGTTCTAATCAACCACAGTAAGACTTTTCACACAGTTGGAGGGAGATTTCAAAACAGAAATAACCTAGAGGTAATGGCAAAAACCCAAACCAAACCATACTCACTGCTGTCAAGTCAATTCTGACTTGCAGCAACATTACAGGGCAAGGTAAACTCACTGCCCTGTGAGTTTCTGAGATGGCAACTCTGTACAGGAATAGAAGCCTCATCTTTCTCCTGAGGAGTGGCTGGTGTTTTGAACTGCTGACCTTGCGGTCAGAAGCCCTAAGTGTAACCACTGTGCCACCAGGGCTCTGGGAGAAAGGTAAGCAGACATATACAAATGTTTTAATGAGGTAATTGGGAAAAAATACACAGAAGCACAAATATGGAAGGTGTGAAAAAATATATTGTCAGTATTGTACACAAATTCGAAATATGGCATTACACAAAGGTCAGGTATCTGGGAGGTGATGCTCTGTGCTGTTAGGGGAGAATTGGGGTGAGAGATGTAAAAGAGCCAATATATAAACATTACACTGGGGTCATGAAACTCCAGTTTGTATGCCATAAAGACATTTGACATTCATTCCACTGGACTGCCAACTGTAAGATTGGCAGTTCGAAACCACCAGCTACTTCGAGGAATAAATATGAGACAGTCTAGTCCCATAAGGAGTTAGTCTTATAAACCCATAGGGGCAATTCTACCCTGTCCTATAAGGTTGCTACAAGGTAGAACTGCCTCGATGGCAGTGAGTGTGTTAGCGTGTTCCATTAACTGTTAAATGGTAATGATTAATATGAAAGAGAAATATAATGAATGATCTATCAATTCCAATGTTACAGTGTATGGAATTCAGCTATCAGGGCTCTGGGATGTATGCTGATGTCACCGTTCCAGATCACAGCACGATGTACTGTGCTGCACATCCTCCATAAGTGAGGATGTGTATAAGACATTAGGTGGGTCCCGTTAATGTGAAAACAAACATGACAGTGCCGCTCTAGTTAAACATTTGAAAGACTCATGACCAGAACTTTACTGTGTAATTGTTACCTCATTTTTCAAAAAACCAAAATCTGCTCGCTTATGCCAGTGATGCTCTGCAAAGACATTCATGTTTTTCATTTTGATTTCAAAGGGTGACTATCTCCTTCGCTGTTTTTGGAAAAGCCCTTACTTGGAACAGGTGCTCCGAATTCTCATGGCTCTTAGATTTCTCAGTTCCATTATCACTACTTGTTTCCCAAGGAGCATCCTGTAAGTCCTGTAAGATACTCACCACAGACTGACCCTCGAACTAATCTCCTTAAATGAGGTCTCTCTGGGAGGTAGCGATATTTGCATCCAAATATACTGAGGTTTGATGTGTGGTCTCCAAAGAATCGGAGCTGGCGATATCTCTCCCCACATCGATAACAGAAATTAGTGTTGCACTGTGAACAAGTCATATGGTCACAACCTTCAGTTCTCTGGATGTGGATCTGTATCCGTGGAAGACGGAAAGAGAAGGAAATGTTACACCATTTTAAAAACTGTATAACACTTTTTAATAAGTTCCTAAATAAAACAAAATCCTTGATAAGTATTTCTGAGGCTGTCAATTTGCTTGTAATCAACAACTGCAACTTTATTTGTACAACACACTTCCCTATGTTCAAAGTTGGATAACGTGCTTAGCACTCAAGCTGTTCACTTATTTTGATCAAGACACAGACAAACCTCATAGAAAACTCTTATCTTTCCAGACACACATCCATCTCAGTGCAAGAAGCAGTGCAAAGCGCTGCTTAAGTACATTGTGAGCATGTTGAGATCAGCAAGAGCCAGGGACTTGGGGATAGGAAGAGATGAAGAGTGTTCCTTGAGAGAAGGGGTTAATGTAACACTCTTTGAATATATATCAAGGGGGAAAAAAACTCTTTTTACTAAAGGGAACCAGAGCGGATAGAAGTGTGCCGACATACTTCTTTGGTTTCTAAATCTAATGTGATTTGTCAATGTTTGAAAAGCTACACAAAGCCATCCATACCACTAAGCAACTATCTTCCATTGTTGCAATCAATGGCATGTAACTTCACCCTCACCTTTAATGCAACAAGGGCTTTTATTTTGGAGTCTACCATATACGCAATGTGGCGGTTCACTGTTGCAAATGCTACCATCAGGGTATTGTTCCCTAAGATATCATTGGTTCCTTGACTCAGAACCCTCAAAGACACGGTGCATAAATTGAGCCACCGTTATCTCCCGTGTGTGCCTTTTCTCTTTGCTTAGGTGAACAAATATTAAGGAGAACTTTAAAATTTTCGCCACAAAATGATTTGGTCGCATCCCCTCTCTCATGTGATTAATGCTGTGTTCATTAACATAGGTTGACCTAAAAGCGTGTTCCCTTTTCACTCTACTGTAGGGACGTAATACATTCAAGCCACACCTCCCTCTCTTAGTCCACAGCTCAGTATGTGGCTTCCTATCTACTTTCCTCTTTTCTCATCTAAAAATACGAGAAATCAAATGTACACATAATGTCACGTCAACACTCTTGATTGTCTACCTCTTCACGTAGGCTGATGCTGTCTGGAAAGAAGTGCCTTCCCAGGTAAACCCGAGTTGTTGTGAGTCAGAACCAATGTGACAGCACCCTCAATATCAACAGCTTCTAGTCAAGAGCACTGGACCATCATCATTTGGTCAACAGAAGCAAAACTTAACGTTTCCTGATATGGTGACCTCATGCTCTGAAAATCATATTTACTTATTTTTTCTGACAGTCTAGTTAGAGTGAAGTCGGGTTTCGTGATGCCTAGACCATATCCAATCTGAGATTTGAAGGGTTTTCTTTAAGAGAATGACGGTAAATGAAAAATACAAATTAGGTACTCGTCTGAGAAGGGTTCTTTGCCGTCTCCGAGGCGTAAGCTTGTTAATTTCTGGTAAATCTGCCCCAAGTCACGCATTTTTCTTGGGTTTTGCTGCATGTTTCTCAATGATCTATGTCAGTGATTGTCAACCTTGCTAATGCCGCCATCCTTTAATACAGGATGTGGTGACCCCCAACCATAAAACTATTTTCGTTGCTACTTCATAGCTGTCATTTTGCTACTGTTATGAATCAGGAGACCCCTGTGAAAGAGTCATTCAACCCCCAAAGGGGTTGTGACCCACAGGTTGAGAACAGCTGCTCTATGTAGTCATACTCATTTAGCACAGTGGGTGGCATTAAAAAATAAGAGGTCTTCGGGTCTCCACTCCACACCCCCTCCTTAGCATCGGTATGATTGTTTGTGTTGGGTCTTCTGATGCCTGATACCTGACTCTATCAACACCTCATGATCACATAGGCTGGTGTGCTTATTTCATATGGGCTTTGTTGCTTCCCAGTTAGATGGCCGCTTGTTTAACGTCAAGCCTTTAAAACCCAGACACTTTATCTTTTGATAGCTGGGCACCATCAGGTTTCTTCACCACATTTGCTTATGCACCCATTTTGTCTTCAGCAATCATGTGAGGAAGGTGAGCATCACAGAATGCTAGGTGATTAGAACAAAGTGTTCTTGCATTGAGGGAATACTTGAGTAGAGGTCCAATGTCCGTCTGCTACTTTAATACTTCACATATATATACACAGATCTATGTCCCTATCATTATATATAAATATATTTATATATGTATGCACCTGTATGTATACATCTATAAATGTCCTATGCCTCCTAGTTCTTTCTTCTATTTCCTTTTACTTTCTTCTTTTCCCACTATCATGTTCAACCTTCATCTGGCTTTCAGTAATTCCTATCGGCTACATTGCACTTGATCAAGCCCCCATCCAGGTTTTCTAAGCACTCCTTGCCCCTGAGTTTAGATCACGTGTTGTTCCCTTATCCATGGGTTTATTGCCTCCCCTCTTCTTTCCCCCCACCTCCTCATCGCCCATGTCCCCCGGAACCATCGTTCTCGTTGTTTTCTGTGAGAAACTAACACTGAAGGAAATATGACGAGGACTATATTCCCTAACTTATAACAGAGGGAATCTGGAAAGCTGGTATTCCATGGTAGGAAAGCCACCACTTTGGTAAGTAAGAGGTAAGGTCCAAGTACATCATCCTGCTTTAAATGTTCCCACAGATTCTGCCCTTACAGCTATGCTGCCTTAAAGTGGGCACATGGCTGACTATCGCTCCCTATAGATGCAGACATCCTTCTGCTATCTCTTCCTGCATGTCACCCAACCCCCCTCACACCTTCCCCCAATTGCAGGTATTAGGTTTCCTCACCTGTGAGCTCAGGGACCTTCATGTAGATACCACCCAGCTTGTGAACGTGTAAATATTGAATATGCATGTCTTAAGGCTACCTACAAATGTCCGAAGATAGTAAAGGCTCTCTCTTACTTCTCCCAGTTCCATATGGACCATCAAGAGGAGCTGAGGTGAGCATGCTACCCTAAAATGTGTCTGACTCCTTTATTGTATTCACTCTCCTATCTTTCCATCCTCTATGACTTTACTATAATCTTTATTTGTTATGACCGTACATTTGCACCTTCTGACCCTTCAGTTGTTGGAGGATGGTTTCCTCCGACAGTTTGCTCCTTGGGATTATTTATCCTGCCTATCTTATATAGGCAGACATGAAAAAACAAAAACAAAAACCTATAAATAGTTCCAGTTTTCTGTTGACTTTTATGAATGTTTTCCAGTTGAGTCTGATGGGATGCCAAGCCCTGCCCCTTAAGTCTGTTTCTGAGATTTCTTGGGGACTTCATTGCTTTGCTGCTCTGTTGCATTCCCTTTGTATTTTGCCCTGGTGTGTGTGTGTGTGTGGTGGTGAGGGGGGTGTTAGACTGGAAACAATTCCCACACTGTGCCTCCAGTGTTGTCCGTCATAGTGCTATGAGTCAATGAGGGGACACCGTGTCCTATGGTGGGGCTGGCTCTACGGTCCTCTCTGTGCATTGACTGCTCCAAGCAGGAATATCGTTCTCAGGGCTTGGTGGGCCAGGATGCAGTTCTCTCTCTCTCTGCTTCCCTCTTAGTTTGCTCCTGTGTGCTCTCAGCAGACCCACCCCTCTCCCCGAGCTGTATCTTCAGTGCTGTCTTCTGTAGCTCATTCTTCTGGGGAGGGTGGTTCACATAGCTCGGATTGGGGCTGGCCCAAAGCCCATCTGTAGACAATTGTACACTCCCTCACAGAAGGGTCACAAGGAAGGGACCAGCCAGTCAGGGTGCAATACAGCACCAATGAAACATACAACATTCCTCTAGTTCTTGAATGCTTCATTCCCTCCCCCACTATCATGACCCCAGTTCTACCTTACAAATCTGGTTATATAGCAGGTACACTGGTACAGGTAAGAGCTCTCAACACATGGAATCCAGTACAGACAAACCCTTCAGGAACAATAATGGAAGTAGTGATACCATGAGGGTAGAAGGAAGGTGAGGGGAAAAGAGGTATCTAATCACAATGATCGACATATAACGCCCCCGCCTAGAGTTATAAACAACAGAAACATGGGTTAAGGGAGAGCGGATGGTGTAAGATATGAAAACAATAATTTATAATTTATCAAGGGTTCATAAGGGTGGGAGGGTAGGGAAGGGAGGAAAAAAATAAGGCACTGATACCAAGGGCTCAAGTAGAAAGAAAATGTTTTAGAAAGGATGATGGCAACATATGTACACATGTGCTTGACACAGTGGCTGTATGGATTGTTAGAAGATCTGTAAGAGCCTCCAATAAAATGATTTAAAAATAGAACAAAAAAGAAATAAGACAAACTCTTACTAAACCCTGGAACCATTTCTGATTCTTCTTTATATCACCTGAACACTCAAGAGAAAACATGTTGGAAAACAATTTCTGAGCACCTCAAACAAAGTTTCACTTCGTATATGTTCAATGGTTAGACTCTACATTGTCTTTAATCTAAAACGGAGATAACGAAGCTTCACAGATTTCCTGATAACATGGCAGTGCCACAGGTGACCTAGAAAGGAAAGAGGACTAATATTTAGTTAGTGCCTTTTCTGTGCCAAGCATGGAACATGGATTAGCACATCTAAGCCCGTAGCCAAACCGTAAGATGGGTATTCTTATTCGTAACCCAAGTGTGGAAAAGTGAGCTGCTCAAGTGGCAGTTCTAGTGAATGGACAACACACGTCTCTTTAAAGGCTAAATAGCCTCTTGTGAACCTCTGGGGAAGCCAGAAGGGCGATGGTATTCTTGTTAACAGCAAACTACTTGTGACAGCGAAGTCACACAGACCCGCTCTCCCTGGACAAGACATACGTGAATCTTGTTTGTTTTTTTCCAGGCACAACTTTTTAAATTTTTTTGTTTTGTTTTTAAATCAATTTAAGAGAAATTGGGTGGGTCTAGAAGCTGCAGTGGTCTAAGCAGCAGCAAATTTGTGCATTCATCCTTTGTTGTTTTTGTTTAAATACATTTAAATGATCACACTGCTGGCACACCTCATTTGCATGAAATTCTGCACCATACATACTAAGTGTAGTAAAGTTACCCCTCCCTCC